TAATTATAAATGACTCAATAACATGGTACTACTGATTGATAAATTATACCTTATTTCTCAGAAATGACGAGAGAAAAGCACAACTAATATAGCAATGACATACATAAAAGAGAAATAAAAGTTTAAACGAAAGAGAAATACAAAAAGTAACACACACAAAATCAGAATATGATCAGATCAGGTAATTGAGTGTTCTTAACAACACACAGCACTTCCCAAATGTGCTACAGACTGCATCCTCACCCCATCCAGAACAATTCATTCATGCACATATCCACACAACTACGCTCATAACTTTTAACATCCCTACATGCTCACAGACTGTAAGGCAGTTCATCGGCCCAGTTAAGAACTCTGAAGTAAGTTAGAGAGAGTATAGATTTGAATAAAATAATTTTAACAATTGAGTTAACAAACAGAATTGACAGAGTTAAAAATACATTTCTTAAGAATACACAAGTGCTTTAGGAAAACTGATCATATAGTCAGAACCAAAGAAATTCTATGGACACTTAGAAATGTTCACACCACAGTACAATAATAACAATGCTTGAAGCACTCATCACTTGGAAGTATTTAAAAAATGACATTTGAGCCCAATGGGAATTCCCATTCAAAAAAAAATCAGATTTACATCAAGCTTTAAGAAACTATAAGAAAAAAAATCATAGACCAAAGTGCCAACATTTACAAGATACTAAAAATGATGAACTACATCAAATAATAATCTTAGTAATGTAAGCCAAAAAATGAAAAAAGGAGAATATATACATTTGACCAAACAATTTGATTAGCAAGAGTTGGAGTCTTATAACACTCAACAAAACCTGCCAGAAGAACAAATATATAAGACAACAACAACAACAACAAAACCCAACTAAATCAAGAATGATTAAAATATTACCAGGAAGAGCTCTTTATAACATTACACTGCTTGAAAACCTAAATAAAAGGATTTAAAAATACATAATATAGGAAGAATCTGAACGGAAGGAACTAGGTTCTGCTCACACTTCGAAAAAAGAAAAGTACCTGGTCTAACCACGATTATGAGAATGTTAACCCTTCAAAAAAGGGATCTTGATCCTCAGAATATAAATCGTGAAAAGCAAGCATCAGGTTGGAGGTGGGAGTGGAGGAAGCAAAAAGTGCATATTCCAAAATGTAAGAACATAAAATGAACTGAGAATCTGGCAGTGGAAAGGGCAGCAGGGTATCTGGTGTGGCATGAAGACCCATGTGGTTTGGGGGGGGAGCGAGGGGGAGGGCACCACACTGGCTGAAATGAGGTTTCACAAGCAGAAAAAGCCCATGAAGATTGGTTTTAAGGAAAGTGGTGACATGTGCAAAATGATGCATTAAATAAATCAACCAGGCTGGGGTGTACATTAAGTATTCACAGGGAGACATTAAAGGTAGGAAATAGGTCAGTATGGACAGGACTAAAGTGGAATGAGGTTAGAATGAGGTGCAGAGGAGGTAGATGTAGGGGCTGCTTGTTATGGTCTTGGGAGACACCTAGTCTGATCAATTTGGCTGTCAGTGCTGCAGGTTCTGGGGAACCCTGAAGTGCTGGATAAATGTTCCCTATCCTCCCACAGCAAAGACAAGAGCTGAGGGGAGTAGTGTTCTCACTGTGGGGCTCCCACTGTTATCTCCCCAGCCCATCAGACCTGACATTTTAAAGTCCCTGGCCAACCAAGCCCCACTTACTAAGTAACAACTATTATTATTTATTCAGGAAAACTATACATAACTGAAGCTGAGCTTTGATTAGTTGAAATAACCAGTGTTAACTCAATGAGTCCATGGGATTCCAGTCATAAACTTCCAGAAACTTCAAAACAGTAGGACTGCCTCCTTCAATTAGCTCTGAGGAAAATCAGTACAAAGCCTATACCTCTCCCCTCTGCCACAACATCCCCCACCTCCCAGCCACCCAAAGGCTTGAGGGTGTAGGAGGAACATCTATCATGTGAAACAGAACAGACTCAAGCTCTGCAGTCAGGGCAAACAGGCCTGATATCTGGGAGATTCTGGGGCACAAGGTGTCCAGCACAGGGCTCAGAGCCAGCTCAGTGCTGCAGCACTGCGATCACTTGGGGAGTTATGAAAGCACATCACTGTCTGAACCCTGTCTCTGGGGATGCTGACTGAATTGGTCCAGGTGGAACACAGGTTTACTACCTTTTAAGCAGCCTTAAAATACCAGTTGGCAGTGGGAAGAACAGAGAGAAGTACAAGAACAGGGACCCAATTTCCACCTGTGGGAGGCTTTGTGAGACATCTGGGAAATATCCATGTGTGGAATACCACATGATAAAGCACCTGCAACCTCAGGAGCAAGCTTGAGTGAGGGAGAGCCCTGCTGTAATAAGGGCTGCAAGCCCTGTTGTTTCAAGAACCAGGTGGAGATGCCTGTGGAGAAAGTATTTCCAGGTAGGATAGGGAGATCTCCATCTTCAATCACCAGTTGCCAGGGCACTTGGTCTCATTATGAAAGGGTACCTCGCATCAACCCTTAGAAGTATGTGGCTATGCCCCACTATTCCCATTCACAGATGGGAAACAGTCTCGGGACTCCCTCAGGATCACATATGAAGAAAAGGCAGACCTAAAACTTGAACTTGGGCCTTACATCCTGTCCTAAACAACCCCTTTCTCCAAACACACACACACACACACACACACACACACACACACACACACACACATAAGGGTAGAAAGGCAGCTGTACTGCCACCAGACCAGGTTTTGCTGTGGTTTCAATGGCCCTGGGTTTGTTGGGGGCTATTCCTGAAGGACTACAATGCTCAGCTGAGGCAGAGCTGGGCATCAAATGCCCTCCAATCTACAAAACTAAACTTCTACTCCTTTGTGAAGAAGCCATCTGCCAGAAACAGCCCTCACCCAAACCCACAGTTGAAGAGCCACACCAAGGGTTTGCCCTCCTTACCTACCCATAACCCTAGAATTCTTCCACACTCTCCCTTTGCTCAGTGACCTGTTTAGGTTGTCCCCACCAATGCCCAAGCGAGACAGAAGATCCTGTTTCCTGCTGAGGTATCCGCTTTTGGATTTGCTTTTCTTTAGCTGATTTGGACAATGAGCAGTTTCTGTCTCCTAAAATGTGCCAGACTGTAGCCTATTAAAAAGTTCATCTGATATTTCACTGATTTAACTCATCTTCCTCCCGCTGACATTTTTTCTTCTTCTGGATACTGGGAAAATCAAGCTGAGGGCAAATCTCAATCTCACAGATTTGGAAGTCAGATATGAGAATGAGAAAACAAAAGGGCAGCCCTCTTTACCAATGTGCTTCCATTTCAACAGCCTTCCTATCACCCTGATCCCTTTTTTTGTTCAGTAAACCTGAATAATTCAGGGCATCTGGCCAGGAGCCTGTTGCCAGTATGTACCAAGTTCAGGAGTGCTTAGATCGGCACCTTTCCATTCAGCACTTTTATCGGGGAGGGAGAGAGGGTCATCCATCAAGGTTGGGCATAGGTTCTATTTAGGGTAGGCTTTCATGCTTTTGTGAGCTTCTTCTACAGCTTCTCCCCAACATGAATTTTCTGATGTCGAATAAGGTGTGAGCTTCCCCTGAAGGACTTGCTGCATTTATTACACACATATGGTTTCTCTCTGGTGTGGGTTTTATAATGCTCAATAAGGGCCGACCTGTGCCGAAAGGCCTTGCCACACTCATTGCACGCATAGGGTTTCTTCCCAGTGTGGATTCTCTGATGCTGAATCAGGGCAGAGCTATGGCAGAAGGCCTTCCCACATTGACCACACTCATAGGGCTTCTCCCCAGTATGTATGCGCTGGTGTTCAATGAGTGAAGAGCTCTGGCTGAAGGCTTTTCCACATTTATGGCATTTGTAGGGTTTCTCACCAGTGTGGGTCTTCCGATGCTCAATGAGGTTGGAACTCTGGCTAAAGGCCTTCCCACATTCTTCACATTTGTATGGTTTCTTCCCAGTATGAATCCTCTGGTGCCGAATGAGGTGAGACCGGTGACAAAAGGCTTTCCCACAGAGGTCACACTGATGAGGTTTCTTCAAGGTGTGGATTTTCCGATGCTGGCTCAGACCTGAACTCTGGTTGAAGGATTTCCCACATTCTTTACACTGATAAGGTTTCTCTCCAGTATGAATTCTCTCATGTTTTCTGAGACTTGAACTCCGACTAAAATCTTTCCCACACTCTCTGCACTCATAGGGTCTCTTCCCACTGTGAGTTTTCTGATGCTGTGTGAGGGCTGAGCTCTGGCGAAAGGCTTTTCCACATTCCTGGCATTCATAGGGCTTCTCCCCAGTGTGAATTATCTGATGTCTGAGGAGGTGAGAACTCTGGCTGAAGGCCTTCCCACACTCGCAACACTCATAGGGCTTCTCCCCAGTGTGAATCACCAGGTGCCTGAGAAGGTGAGAGCTCTGGCTAAAGGCCTTCCCACATTCCCGACATGCATAGGGTTTTATTGGTTGTACAATTGTATGAGGTTCACTAGGTCTCAAGTCCCCCCTGCCCACTTGTTCACAATCATGTTCACTGGGTTCTTCACCACCATGGATTATCTGACACATACTAAGGTCTGACTTTTGGAGGAATGTTTGACCAAAAATTTCCTCATCCTGGTGTCTATTTACTGAGGGGATACTCTGATGCTGAACAGAGCTTGAGCACAGACTGAAGTTGCCCTCATAATCATCATGTTCTTCATTTTGCTCCCCAAGAGGGATTTCCTTGTAGATAACAGCCATTTGCTCTAAACCCCTTCCCTGAAGAAAAGGGTCCCCCAGTTCCTCCTCCGGGAAGAATTCTTGTTGCATCTCCAACCCATTCGCAAACACAAAGTTTTCATCAAGTTTGGTGGCTGAGGGAACCTCCATTTGGGAACCTAATATAGCCCCAAAAACTATTTCTTGAAAGATGTTCTTTGGGACGCACTTCTCACAATCTGAAGAGAAAATAAGGACAATATCAAGTCAGCAAATCAAACAAGGTCCTCCTTCTTGTGCCAGAATCTATGATGGGCATAACAAAGTAAGTCGAAGGACTAATCTTGCCCTTGAGGTGACCCCAACTGTGTTACAGACAAGTATGATTTACCAGAAACAGTTGCAAGGAAGTACCACATGGGAGTGTCTAGACTCTAACAGGTAAAGGTTGTTCAAAAAGGTGGTCTAGAACAGGAAGTAGAATCATTGTGAAAAAGGGTAAGACTCCAATTACTGGAGGATGTTATAGAAGGGGTGTAGTTCCCTTCCTGGAGGTTGGCTACACCCCCTCCAGTAGGGTCTCTTAGCCAACATCCTGGAAATCAGCCTAAACCTCTCATCACTCAAATTTATCCTGTCCATTTCCTGAGGCTTTATTGACAGCATCTCTGCCTCACTGCCATCAGCTGTTAATGCAATTCCCCAGAATTATATCAATCCTGGCCTCCCAACTGGCTCCCCATCCAGAATCTGCTCTTCTCTCTGAAGTTACACTGGGGAGAAGCTGTAGAAGGAGCTCACAAAAGCATGAAAGCCTACCCTGGATAGAACCTATGCCCAATCTTTGATGGATGACCCTCTCTACCTCCCTGATAAAAGTGCTGAATGGAAATGTGCCATCTAAGCATCGCTGAACTTAGCATTGGCAACAGGCTCCTGGCCAGATGCCCAGGAGGTTTACTGAACAAAAAAGGGGGTCAGGGTGATAGGAAGGCTGTTGAAATGAAGGCACACTGGAAAAGAGGGCTTCCCTTCTATTTTTCCATTCTCACATTTGACCAAACCCGTGAGATTGAGATTTGTCCTCTACATGGCTTTCTTAGTATCCAGAAGGAAAAATGTCAGAGGGAAGAAGTCTCAACACTGATAACAATATCAAATACCCAAAACACAGGGCTTACCATGCCATTTCCCTTAATAGGATCTTGCAGTAACCCACCTCTTTACACCTGGCCTATCTCTTGCATCTCACTTCTGTCCATGCCTAACTTCATTTGTACTGCTGTTTCTCCCATGATGGTCCCTCTGCTTCTCAGACTGAGACATTCAGATTCAGTACAAATGTCCCCTTTCCTTTAAAAAAAAATATTCATTTATTTATGCATACAAGAACTGGGCTATAGACCACAGGTGCAGGGGGTGAGAGGAATCATCAGAAACAGAGGGGAGCAAAAAGGGGAGGTCTACTGAAATAACACCGCTGAGGGGAGCAGTGGACAAGTCAGGAGAGGTCTGCCACGCCATGTGGATCAGCTCCCTGACCAAGAATCAAACTCATGTTGCAGTAGCTGCAAATAGTGTGGTGCTTTAACCCACTGAGCCACCAGGGAGAGGCCCTCAGATGTCCCGTTTTCTCTGAATCCTCTGCCTCTGACAATCTCCGATATTCTTCCTCAGTGACCCATGGAGTTCGGCACTTGTCTGTCATGACACTAACTAACTTAGAAGGCAAATCTCAGTTGACAGGCCTCTTCCCCATCAGTGCTATGAGCAATTTAAGGGCAAGTACTGTGTGCTTTATTTCAGAAATCTCTAACTCTACATAATATGACAATCTCTGCATGTTCATCTTTTAAATAAATGACTGAGTGGCAGAAAATCCATTTGTTTGTGTTAGAATTGACACTTTTTTTTGTCAGAAACCTCTTTATTCAAATAAATTAATTTGACTGCCTGGAAGATATAAATAAATAAATGAGACAAAAGCAGAACCGTGCAGTCAAGTGCAGTATTTTCATGGGGACAAAGGAGGCTAGAGCACCCCATTCAGAACTTTTGCCCACTTAGATGCCCCTCTTGGCAGTCCTTCGGCATCCCATTCAGCAACTTCTGTGCATGCAAACACACTAACAATAACAAATTATATTTTTAAGCACCTACTATGAACAACCACTTCTAGACTTCTTATAATAAGCATATCTCATCTAATCCTCCCAAGTGTATTTAAAGGTATTATTCTTGTACTGGATCTTAGAAAGCAACTGTCTCAAAAAACAGGTTCTCTCTGTTGGCATAGGCGTTAAGTCTCAACGCTACTGCCTGAGTTCAATCCCCAACAAGGGATCTAAACCACATATGAGGCATCAGACCTCTCCTGTCTTGCCACTACTCCCCTTAACAGTGTATTTCAGTAAATCTGCCTGTTCTGTTTCCCACTCTGTCTCTAGTGAATTCTCTCATCCACCACCCCCCACCTCTGACTTACACCCCAGTTCTTTTACATGCAAAAAACCCCACAAAACCTAAAAGCAAATGTCTCAAAAAACATACTAAATAAATAGTCATGGTGGAATGCTTTCCTATTTGGAAAGAATTTTAAATGTATTTTCTGACAGCAGGAAAGCTATGGGTGAAGAAAATAAGCACAAAACTATAAAGTATTCTAAAAAATCTGCTGATCCTCTGATTTCTCTTGTCTTCCCCTACTATTCAGCAACCCATAATCTCCAATCCTTCCATTATCTTACATGACTTCATCTAGTTTAATACCCACCATTTGTACCTCAGTTCTCCTCTATACTTTCACCCTTCTCTGTCTATAGTCTAGCCAAAGAGTCCACTTTGCTCTCTAACCTACTCCTAATCTTATCCTCCTGGAACCAGTTGCTAACGAATAAACTTCTCTGCCAATTCCTAAGATGTTAAATATTGCCAAGGAAAATCATTCCATGATTCATGGCACCAAGACAAATTTCAAGTTTCCAGTTTGAGCTAGAACTTCAGCATGCAGTTCCAACATCCAATAACCTCCTTATTGCCAACCTCTCTCTTCCCAATTTTAATGTCCCCACACCTCTGGCATTGCTCACTAATACCTCTTTCTCAAAACCCTGCATTTCAGTGGTTACAAATTGGCAGCCTAGAGATCCTGCCACAGATACATTTTGTTTGGTTCACTGAGAGCTGGCTTTTCCTTTTTGTTTGACTTTGCTGCCACTACTGAAATCTCAGAAGTGGCTCTCTCCTGAAAGACTGGAAGATGTGACAGCAGGGATCCATCCCTGCACTAAACCCACCTTGCCCACCTGGACACCTCATGGCTTTAGCCCATCCACCCTCACTCCCGCCCTCATATCCTGCTTATTCATTCTATTTCTGAAAGTTCCCCCCATTCTCATGCCTCCTGATCCCTCTTTCTTGGTACCTGTAGATTGTAACTCTTCCTCCACCAGTTCTCACATAAACCTTGGTGTTTCCAAGCTTCACTCCTAAGGGGTTTTTCCATTTCCACTATCACCTACACACTGAAGCCTGCATTTTGTTTTAAAACTGGGCAGTCCTTTAAATGTCCCCAGTGTTTTAAACATTTGGGGCCAAAAATTCAAAAGTCTGGGACCTCATGCTTCCCACTTCAGTCGGGGTTTCCCCAGACTCCTCTTTGCATCCCTTATCTCAAAACGGGAAGACCCCAGGGCCCCAGGGCCTGGGTATTGGGCACACCTTCACTCTCCACAGGGTTTCGGTGGCTGAAGGCCCTCGAGCAGCCGCGGACCTGCACACGCTGCCCAGGCAGCAACGCCGGCGCCCCTACGAGATTCCCAAGAATGGGAGGC